ATCATCATTTACCCAGAATGCTTTGTGTGCAAATAAAATGGCCCCATTCGTGTAACATATTTTTTAACTTTTAGTTTAAAATTTATAAAAACTAAACAGCCTACAGTATTTTTACAGTCTTTATTTTACAGCTAAAATAAATGTTTATCAAATAAAGTCTAATGTTACAACTAATCAGGGATCCCTTTAAATAAAGCTGTGACGGTAAAAACACCACAGTGGTCCAGTTATTCATGAGATATTTGTAGAGTGGAGCGAGTCAGAACCAATATTGGCCCAACAGGAAGTTGACTCTTTAAGAGTTAAACGAGTTGGTACCGGCAGTGCCGGCTCTGCTCACCACGGATACGGCCTGAATCAGAGGCGTGCTCGACTCCTCGGACAAGTTGACCCAGTTGACGTCGGCGCCGTGGGCCAGAGCGTCGGCCATGACGGGGAAGTTCTGCAGAGCAGCGGAGCGGTACAGCAGCGCCCCGGGGTGAAGCCCGCTGAGATCCTCCTCTTCCTCTTCTTCATCTGGGGGAACTTTCATTAGTTCTGTGCTTTCAAGCGTAACAAGTCAGGTGAGGCACCTGTGAGARTTCCCTCACCTTTGTGAACACCGGAGTTGTTCCTCTGGAGAATTTCACTGGGACTGAGCCCTGAGGAGAGACACACATTATCCTGCTGAGAACTCACACAAACGGAAGGAAACACGAGCAGACCAAGCTGGAGCACATCGGTCTTTGTTCCGGTCCTGCAGCGAGGCGTACCTGTGAGCCGAGGCAGTGTGGCCCGGCTCGGTTTGGGTTTGAGAGGAGGCCGCTGAGCGTTCCGATCCTGCGTCGTGGTTCGGGTCCTCCTGGCGCTGGTCCGCCTCAGCAGKGTGGTCCTGCCCGTCTCCGGCAGCTTCTGGATAAACTTCTTCTCCACGTACTTTGATCTGATCCACGACTCCTTGTCTCCTCTGAGGAACAGAGAGAAAAAGAAGAGATTTAKTCAATGTGAGAAGAGAAGAAGCCTCTCTGTGGGTTCAAAACCAGAACACAGAGGACCGCTTTTAATCTGACAGTGAGGAGATCAGGAACAGAAGTATCTTACCTGTTGTAGATGGCTCTTTCAGTTTGTTAACATTCACTTTAAAGACTCTGAATCKCATAAATGTCACAACCACTTAGCCCTGTGCTCGTTTACAAACCTCTACACGGTCAAATTCATAGCTTTTACAGAAATGTTTACAAATGTAAATAACAGTAGCACTTCCTGTGCAGCAGGTACAGATTAACTTGTCAATATGAAATTGACAGGTTAAAAAAGCAGAAAGTTTGGACTTTATTGATGAACCAATCACAGCTGCTTAGTAAACTTTTACACTGCAGCTTTATTTCTTCAAAGTGACGTCAGTAGAGGTACGTTTTCTTATTTGTTGTGCAGGAAATGTATCTGATCCCAAACTGTGAACATTTTGTTTTAAATATTCTACTGAAATCAGAATATTTTAGCTTTTTTTATAGTGGAAACAGTAATATTTCTATAATGTCCGAAGGGATCTTTGATTAGAAGGAAAAATAAGTCTTGTTCGATCATTTCAGCAGCTCACAATAAATCAGTGAATATACTGAATATTGTTTTTTAGGAGTTGAAAGTTATCCAGTCCACCCCTGGCTCCATAAAACACCACTTTTCATTTTCTAAAACTATTTTTTCATTTCAAAAGTCTGATTAAAGCTGAAAGCATCAGATGTGTCTAAACTAATTTCTTCCCTTTTAAAKACAAAGAAGAATTAGAGAAAACACTGTTAGGTTCACCTGGGTTTAAAATAAAAAAACAGGTTGTACAAACGAACACAACCTTATGACACGTTTCCGGCTTTAACAACCTTCTGTTTTAAGTATCTGTGACACTTCCTGTCTTCTGCAACACAAAAACAGAGAGGAAGCAAAACGAGCCTAAAAAAAAAGAAGCTGCTGGCTGCAGATAAATACTGCTTTAAACCACGGACTGTRTCTTTACGTTTCAGAGCTGTGACAAAAAACAGCTTAGGTTTTTACAAAAGAACAGAAACTGTGTGACAAACTTTATATGTGTATCAATCTCTAATCTACAAGTCCAGACGACTGGAGGTTCAGGTCTGGTTGTTCCTGTTGTTCTTCAGCTTGTTCTCTGATGTGCAAGATTTCTGTATCAGCAGAGGCAAAGGTCACGATCCGTGTCTTGCTCAAAACAAACTCTGAAAACTCAGAGCAGGGTATTTGCTGAAATGCAATTAGTTCTGAATCTGATGAAAACATTTTCAAGAGTACAACCTACAATAAAGGCTGTGTACCCGTTACAAAGAATGTGAGAACTCACATCTGGGAATCAATTCTTCCAGAAACTTTCCATAAAAACTAGGAGAATTCATGGAAATTACTGTGAACTGTTGGTAATTCTAATAAACTGAATGGATTTTTATTTGAGGCTTAATAGATGGATGTTGTAGAAAGAAATGTGAAACATAAATACAGTTCTGTGTTGTTCAGTGTTCTTCTGACTGCAGAAAAATAAAACTGAATTTAATCAGATTATACGTACATGCACTGCACGTGTTTGTATGGAGTTTTTAAAATATTACAATATTTTGGAAKAATACATAAATGACGATATATCGTCTTGCTGACAGTATTGCAATATATTGCGATATATCGTTTATGTATCATATCACCAATTTCTTGGCAACACACAGCTCTGGTATCGTATCCAAACAAAACTATAAACATTTTGTTTTGTTCCAGACAAAATCATAAAAACGGCATCGAACTGATCTTCAACACAAGAGTCAACAGACTGATCCTGAGCGGTTCTGTACCTGGGGCTGGTTGGGTGGGGCTTCTTGATGGTGATCTCATCAATCCGAGCTTCGTAGATCCTGTTGATCACAGAGTTTCCCAACTCGCACATTAACTTGGAAAAACAGGAAAAAGAAAAGAGGGAAAAAATTATTTGTACACGTGACAACTGTTTGTTGAGAAGATTAAAGGGGCAATATCAAGTAAAATCAACTTTTTTGAGTTTTATATCATGTTATAATGTTATACTC